TTTTAAAGATTTTACTTATTTATCTTTAGAGGAGAACAGAAAGAGAGGGAGAGAAATATCAATGTATGGTTGCCTCTCATGCGTCCCCTGTTGGGAGCTGGCTTGCAACCCAGGCATGTGCCGACTGGGAATCGAACCACGGCAGTTTGGTCGCAGGCCCACACTCAATCCACTGAGCTACACCAGCCAGGGCACATACTGCATTTTTAAAGCTATGCTCTAAAAATGCAGTTGGCAAATTTTTTTTGAAAAGGGATATATGGCAAATATCTTAGTTTTTGCAGGTCCCCTATGGTTTTGTTAACTACTCAACTACACTGTTGTAGCATGAAATCACAGACTATATGTAAAATGGGTGTAGCTGTGTCCCAACAAATCTTTACTTACAGAAACAGGCAGCAAGATAGATGTAGCTTACAGCTACTAACAGTAGAAAAACAGTGTAAATTTTAATTAGTAGGAAGGGAAAGAGAAGTAATTGATTAGTTGTCCAAATAGAAGGCAAGAAAGGAGAAAAAAAGAAATACAAAACAGGATAGCAGAAAGTACAAAGAGCCCTAGTTGATGGTAAACTAGCCCTGGTTTATGGCTAGTTTTATGGTAAACAGGCTCAGTAGATTGAGCGCCAGCCTGTGAACCAAAGGGTCACTGCTCCAATTCCTGGTCAGGGCACAGGCCTGGGTTGTGGGCCAGGTCCCAGATGGGGGCAAGTGAGAGGCAATAGATTGATGTTCCTCCCATGTCAATAGATGTTTTTATCCCTCTCTTTCTCCCTCCTTTCCCCCTCTCTATTAACAAATAAGTAAAATCTTAAAAAAAATAAAATGTTATCATTAAATATATTTTAGAAAGAGAAAGTACAAAGAAAATGGATAGATTTTGATCCAAATACTTTAGTAATTGAATTCAATATAAATGGATACATATTCCAGTTAAAATCTCTCTGTTTTAGATGTCTCTTGTGAATAGCATATATTTATATTTGGTTTATTTTGTAGCCAATATTAAAACAAAGGGATATAGAAAGGGTAAGAGTAAAAGAATGGGAAAATATATACCATGCAAAGACCAACTAAAAGAAAATTGCTATTAATAAATATTAATAGCAAACAAAATATTAAATATTTTGTCTGAAGTATTAATATCAGACAAAATAACTTAAGGCAAAAAGCATTACTAGAGATAAAGAGGGTCTTCACTATCTTCATAGTGATAATAAATTTAATTCACTAGAAGTAAGTCATGATTTTAAATAACAAAATATATAAAGCAAAAATCTGGCATACTCAAAGGAGAAGTAAACAAATCCACAATTGTAATGGGAAATTACACACTTGTCTTAATAATTCTTGAAGAAAAACAGAAAAAGCTTAGGAAGAATATAGGTTTGCACATCAAGATAAAATAATTGACTAAATGGACGGAGGGAGACACTATTTCCAACTCCCACCCCCAGGCAACACACACACACAGGCAGAAAAGGAAGCTCTGAAGAGATGCTATTTTTAACACCTGAAGAATACATCTTGTTTTTTAAAAAGATTTTATTTATTTATTTTCAGATAGAAGGGAAGGGAAGGAGAAAGAAAGGGAGAGAAACATCAATGTGTGGTTGCCTCTCGTGAGCCTCCCACTGGGGACCTGGCCTGCAACCCAGGTGTGTGCCCTGACTTAGAATTGAACCAGTGACCCTTTGGTTCACAGGCTGTTGCTCAATCCAGCCAGGGCAATACATCTTATTTTTAAGCACATACAGAATATTTTCAATTTACCATAAACTAGGAATAAAGTCTTGAAATATTTCAAAGAATTAAAATTAAAGTATATATTATGACCACAATATACCTTTGTTAGATTACTAGAAAGTGCCCATATGTCTAGAAATAAAAAAGCACTGAATAACCCATGAATCAAGCAAGAAATCATTATGGAAATTAGAAAAATAGTTTGGACAGGATAACAAAAATTCTACATACCATAACTTGTGGAATGAAGGCTAAAGTATTTCTAAGGAGGAAATTTATATCCTCGAGTGCCTCTATCAGGAAAAAAAAAAGCTAAAAGTGAAAGATCTAGGCCTTTATCTCAAGAAGTTAGAAAAAACCCCAACAAGGAACCCAAAGAAAGTTAGTAAGTAGTTATGTCAAGTGTGTTTCAATAAAGTGGGGTGTGGGGGGGAGAAAGTAGAAGTAAGCAAATAAAGACAAAGGCAGAACGTATTGAAATAGAAAACAAACATACAGAAAGTTAGCTCTTTGAAAGGATTAATTAAAACTGACAAATCCCTAGCAAAATAGATCAAGGAAAAGGGAAAAAAGAGAAGACAGAAAAAACTGATAGCATAAAAACAAAGGAGACAGTACTAAACTTGGATAGCTTTTTGTCAATACATTTTAAAATATAGATTAGATGGAAAAAATATTAGAAAATATAATTCTCCCAAGCTGACTCAAAAAAATTTAGAAACTCTCAATAGTGTCATAACCTCCAGGTAAATTGAAATCTGTAGTCGAAAACCATCACTCAAAGAAAACTTCAGACTTGTATGGCTTTTCTGATAAGTTATACTAAATGTCGAAGGATCAAATTGTTCCAATTTTATACAAACTCTTTCAGAGCATAAAAGAAGGAAACATTCTTCAACTCATGAGTGTAGCATAATGTTGACACCAAAAAACCCCTGAAAGACAGAACAAGAGCGGAAAATGACAAGCTGGTCTCACTCATGAAAATAGGTAACAAAAATCCTAAACAATTAGCAACTAGAATGTAGCAATATATTGATAGACAAATGCCCAATTAACTTATGCAAATGTATTCACAAGTTAGCAATTATTAATAATCAGAAACATTGAGGTTAAAATCACAATGAAATACCATTACCACATATACCAGATGGGCTAAAATTAAATAGCCTGACAATACTACATGTTGGCGTGAGAAGGGAGCAAGAACTGCCTGCCCTTCATCACTGGTGGAAATATCAATACAACCACTTGGAAAAAATAGTTTGGCACTGTCTACTGAACTCCAAGTTACATATACTCTAGGTAGGTACCTTAGAGCAGGGATCCTCAAAGTATGGTCTCTGGACTGACAACATCAGCATCAATGTCACCTGGAGATTAACTAGAAATGCCAAATTCCTGGGTCTACTCGAAAGTTACTCAATCAGCAACTCTAGGGTCCAGCAACCTGTGTTTTACACTTTAACAAGCCCTTCAGGTGATTCTGACGCCTGTTAAAGCTTGAGAAACAGTGCCATGGAGAATAGGAGTACAACTCCACCAAAGTACACGAAAAAAGATATTTTTTAAAAAGCATTGTTTTGTAATAGCCAAATACAGAAAACAAGCCAAATGTTCATCAACATACTGGATAAGTAAGTTATGACATGGTTATATAATACAATGAAATAATGCCATACTAGATAGCATAAATGACTCTCAATCACAATGGTGAGAAAATATTTAGGACACAAAGAATACATTTTAATGTATAGAAAAAGGTTCTTGTCAAACTGTACCTATATATTTTAAGAACCAGAACTATACCTCCAGCCCTAATCTTTTCTTAGAACTCTAGGCTGGTATAAAACTAGTACCTGCCATGTGATGTGTGCTCAGTATGACAGGTTTCAGTCTTTATAATTACAATGTTTACAGTGACTGCAGAGTATTTCATAATATGGATATGCCGTATCTATTTAACCACTTCCTTGTTGATGTGTTTTTCAAGAATGTTACTTTGGCTGTCCCAATAGACTGAGAATTCTGAGAGGTGAGAGACCATGTTTGGCTTCATCTAAGACAGTGGCTGCTATTCAATAGTTACGTAATTGAATTGATTTCGGGTTAGCTTTCCTATAAGAAAAAAATGCCCTGGCTGGTTTTACTTATCTTTGTTAGAGCATGAATTGATTTCTTGAATTTTTTTAATCCTCACCCCAGGATATGTTTATTGGTTTTAGAGAGAGAAGAAGGGAGAGAGGGATATATACAGGGTCCAGAAGTAATTCCTGCTTGAGTGTGGTTGATAGGTTAATAATGTGGGTGTGATAATTTATAGTTTTAATTTGAACATTTCACCTAAAATGTCATCTGATGTGCTTGAGTGTGATATTGTTATGTTACAGAATTACAAAATTATGATTTTTTAATAAAAAGGGACATTACTTCTGGGCCCTCTGTGTGTGTGTGTGTGTGTGTGTGTGTGTGTAGGGAGAGAAAGAGAGAGAGAGAGAGATTGATTGCCTCTCATACACATCCTGACTGCACCCTAGGTATTTGCCCTGACTGGAAATTGAAGCCACGTGCTTTCAGTGTAAGGAATGCTCCAACCAACTGAGTTACTTGGCCAGCGTGATTCCCTGTTTACAGTGAATTTCGTTTTTGTTTACAGTGAATTAACACTAGAGAATCTATTCATTGGGTGTAATGGCAAAATAAACAGACTTGGGAAATTAGACCATGAATTCTGGAGTAAGATCATTTAATTTCCCTATGTGATCTCTTCTTTGTCTCAATACAACAGCAGCTAGGAAACGTGTCAAGCCTTAGAATTAGGAAACCGTATATATCACACTTTCTGAGAGTACCTACTTAAAGTATCCTACCTTAAATGTACTTGCCCCATTGTAATTTATGACTTGGAGCATGTGACACCATACCTGGACCTCTAAGGAATGACCGGCTCCAGAGAAGATGCTTATAGGTCAGGATAGGCCACTGCTCCTTGGAAACCTTGCCTCCATACTCTCTAATTTATGCCAACTTTTCCAGTTTGCTCCTAGAAGAGTCATAAAAGTGTTGGCTGTCACAGCAAAGACCATGGGCTGCTGCCAGAAGGAGCAGCAGATGGCCATGGCTGAGAGAAAAGGCTTAGTAGCATGCACAGTGCCTGGACCCTGTCAGGTTTACCTTGAATGCCCATTGTGATGTCATACACAGTCACAGCCTTGAGGGAAAACCAGTTTGACTGAGAGGGGATGGGGTTGAGTAATGGCGCTGACATGGGGGCCAGCCCTCCCACTGCCATCACATGTCAGTCTTCTACTATTATTTGGTCTCCTTGTTTGGGGGCTTTGGGTGCTGTTTTTTGGGAAACAGAGCAGGGAGCAGGTGGCAGCAAAGACAGACTCGGAGGTATGTGATGTAACAACTCTTGAAACTCACTGATCCCTGTCCCTGAAGCCATAGAAATTCCTATACCTTGGGCCATGGGCAAAATTGGATGGGGGAAAGATGGGAGTTGAGATAGCGCTTTTGGATGCCTTCACATATATAAGTCATTCTCAATTCTTTTCCCTTCAGTTCATTTCAACAACCTTTCAACACCTATTATATGACAGCATAGTAGACATTGAAGAAGAACAAAATACCATCACCACCTTCTAGGAGCTTGAGATGAAAAGGGGAGATAGGCAGACAGATATATGTTGAATACATAAATAACTTAAGAAAAGAGAAAGTGATAAGATTTCATAGAGGTATAATTATTGCTAAAGAGATGAGAGGCAAAGAGCATTTTGATCTACAAAAGGCCTTCTGGGGGAGCTCAGTTTGAGTTGTGCTTCAGAGTAAGGGTAAGACTTTGAAGGTGGGTGAGGTGGGTGGAGGAGAGTACAGAAAGATTCTTCAGACAGAAGGAATATATTGGGAAAAAGCATGGAAAAGAAGCAGAGGAAGGTCGGATGTGTTTGAGGAGAGCTGAAGACACCTACCTGAATACAGTGTGGAAGTGCAGGGAACTCAGGAGGGAAAAGGTTTGAAAATCGGTAGAGGTCGCATTGCAGAGGTCTGCTAATGCCAGACAGAATACTTGGTAGTATAAATGTTATTCTGTATGCAACTAAAAGACATCAATAAATTTAAAGCCAGGTAAAAATGTGCTTAGATCTGTGTCTTAGAGAAGTGCTTCTCAAACTTTAATATACATATGAATCACCTGGGGGTCTTTTCTTTAAAAGCAGATTCTGATTTAGGAGTGGGGTAGGCACTGAAATTCTGCATTTGTAACATGCTCCTATGGTTGAGTGAACCTTGACAATAACTCCAATGTATATAGTAGTTCTCTGGCATAGATAAGCCATGGGAGGCTGAATTGACAACTTAGTGTGAGGGAGGGCAAAGAAAATGAAAGAATCCGAGCAGTAAGGTGGACAAGAAGACTTGGATTTATTCTCAAATGTTTGTCACCATCACCACCACTAAAAGGCACTTCTATAGGCTATGTGGATACAATAGTAAAGCAGGGACAAGGAGATGTGGAAGATGTGGGGTCTACTGAGATGTGGAAGAGGAGGGGTCTACTGTGGTGAAAGTTTGAATGTGGGAAGTGAGACAGAAAAGGAGGGAAGGAGCTGTCTTTTCCTGATTGAACTTCAAATCCAAAGAGTTAATTATAAACATTATCATCAGTTTCCTACGAGGACTGTATTCATCTTTGCACCCCATGTGCTTAGCACACTGCCCGGAGTAATAAGTAAGTACTCCAAAAATGTCTGTGAAATGAATGATGCCTTGTCAATGTTAACCTTGAATGACTGATGAGATGATGGCTTTTCAAAGAATAGAAAACATTAGGTAGAAGTCATGAGTCCAGCCCCACTGTTTGGCCTGGGTACACCTACCAGCTCCACCATTACAATGACAGAATGGTACACACTGCTTCTGTAAAGTGACATCCTTCAGATATTTGGTGGCTTTTTTGGATATGCATATATTGATGGTCTGGGAAGTTTCATGAGTATTCTTAAAGTGAACACAAAGATTTGAACCTCTTGCTTTGCATAATTTTGTGGTGTTTTCTGGGTCAAGTGAATAGTGAACCATTTTTAGAAGTCACCAAGAGACACTGGACCTCCAGCACCAACCACAGGCTTTCTGCACCCCTGCTTGTCCCCATTCTTGCCCATTGTGCCTTTTTGGGGGCTAAAAAGCCCACGTGGTCCCATGGCACCAAGTCAGGTGCTCTGATCTGTCATCTAATTTTTAAAAAATATATAAATCATATATATTTTAAGTACAAGTTTTAACAATATTTGTACTGACTGTGTTAATTTATATCACCCATTCATCTTATCTTCTAGTATGTATTGTAATTTTTTCTTGAATACCAAGAATGTTATATGTAAAGTTACTTCCCTCCAGACATTAGAGTTATTTTTGCTTCTAGAAGTCATTTACAGAAACTCATCTTAATCCAATCAGGTATTGAACTCATCAAAGGCTAAGCTTCAATTTTTTAAAAATTTAAAACTTTTTTCAATCATAATTGACATTCAACATTTTAAAATATATTTTTGTTGACTATGCTATTACAGTTGTCCCAATTTTCCCCCCTTTCCCTGCCTCCTCCTGGTACTTCCATTCCCTCTAGCAACCTCCTCACTTTGTTCATGTCCATGAGTCATGCATATGAGTTCTTTGGCTTCTCCAATTCCTGTACTATTCTTAACATCCCCCTGTCTATTTTGTACCTACCAATTTAGTCTTCTAATCCCTATACCTTTTCCCCCATTCTTCATCTTCTTCCTCCCTGCTGATAATCCTCCAAGTGATCTCCATATCTATGATTCTGTTCCTGTTCTGCTTGTTTACTTAGTTTTTTTAGATTCAGTTATTGATAGTTGCAAATTTGTTGCCATTTTAATGTTCATAGTTTTGCTCTTTTTCTTAAATAAGTCCTTTTAACATTTCATATAATAATGGCTTGGTGATGATGAACTCCTTGTTGCTTTACCTTGTGTTCCAACTGGGAATCAAACCACAACTCTTTAGTCTGCAATCCCATGCTCAGTCCACTGAGCTACACCAGTCAAGGCTCAGTACTACATCCTTAATTTCTAGGAGTAACATTTAATTCTCTCAAATTTGCTAGATAACTTTCTATGATTTTCTGTTTCTTACAAATATGTCTAAGCTTGGCTTTTATTTCTTTTTAAAAAAAATACTTTTTTATTTACTTTTAGAGAGAGGGGAAGGGAAGAAGGAGTGGGAGAGAAACATCAATGTGTGGTTGCTTCTCATGTGTCCCCTACTGGGGTCCTGGTCTGCAACCTAGGCATGTGCCCTGACTGGGAATTGAACTGGTGACCCTTTGCTTCACAGGCCCATGCTCAATCCACTGAGGTACACCAGCCAGGGTGGCTTTCTTTAAATTTGATATGCATTGTTGTTTTCTAATCTAGATCTGATGATTCTAATATCTGGCATCTCTGTGGTCTTGTTTCTGCAGAAATAATCTATTTTATAAAATACAACATTCATGGGCATTTTTTGAAGCCTAGGATAAAGATCTTCCCTACAGAGTGTTTTATTTCTTTTTAACTGTGGCACCATCCATCCAGGTCTACTTTAAATTCATGGCTTCAGGGTTTTTTGTGAACTTGAGCAAATTACACAAAAGTCCACCTGTGGTTACAACTTCCCAGGGACTTCTCTTTAGTCCTCTGAACTTCTCAGTGTCATGAGGTTCCAGCTGAATGTGGCAGAGTGTTCTACTGGATTGTCTTTCTTTCTTTTTCTTTTTCTTTCTTTGCCTTGTGGTTTGTATTTTTGAAGTTTTCTTTTTCTTCTTAAGAAGATTTTATTCATTTATTTTTAGAGAGAAAAGAAGGGAGGGAGAAAGAGAGGGAGAAAAACATCAAATCAACCAGTTGCCTCTTGCATGCCCTGGTGGGGACCTGGTCTGCAACCTAGGCATGTGTCCCGACTGGAAACAGGCAGGCTTTCAGTTCACAGGCCAGTGCTCAAAGCACTGAGCCGCACCTGCCAGGGCTGAAGTTTTCTTTAAAAAGTTGTTCTGTGCTTTAGGTCACAAAGATTTTTCTCCTACTTTTTTTAGGTGTTCCAGTCTTACCTTTCACATTTTAATTTTTAATACACTTGGAATCCTCCTCTAAACATAAGAGATCTGATTTTCTTTTTCTCTTTATAGTGAGCCAGTTTTCTCATCACTATTTGCTCAAGTATCTTTTCCTCATCAATTTGTGGAACTCCCTTTATCATGTGCATGAGTCCATCTTTGAGTTCTCTACTCTGTTCTGTTGGTTGGTTTTTTCCTGTATTTACTGTCATGTATTTGTAGTGTGTTTGAGAGTTTGGTACAGTAGGCCTCTTCTTTGCCCTTCTTTTTAAGGTTGATTTAGCTACTAGTGAACCTTTCTTTTGTCATATAATTTTAGAGAGTTTAACAAATTTTTGAAACATTCCAACTGAAGTTTAGATTGGGAATGCATTAACATATAATTTAATTTGGGGAACAGTGATATCTTTGTAATTTCAAGTTATTCCAACCAAAAGCCTAGAATGCCTCCCCATTTATTGAGATAATTTTCTCTGTCCTTTATTAGAGTTACATAGTTTTCTACAAGAAGGTCTTTTGTATTCTTGGTTAACTTTATACTTTGATACTCTATCATCATTTTTATTGCTATTATAAAGGACATATCTTTTGCTATTTAAAATGATAGTTTTCTAGTTTTTTTTTCTGCAGTAGAGAAATGCTATTGATATTTATAAGTTCTGGTAATTAGAAACCTTGAATTCTTTGATTAGGTCTGATGGAAAATGTCTTTGGTTATCATTTCAATTGCTTTCATATTTACTGGTCTATTCAAATCATATATTTATTTTTGCCTGATTTTGATATTTTACATTTTTTCTAAGAATTTAACTATTTCAAGTATTTCTCATTTACTTAATTATGTTATTCAAACTGTTTTCCTTCTCCTTCCTCTTCTACTTCAATTTTCAAAGAGATTTTATATTTCCTTTCCTCTTTTTCCCTAGGGGCACAAGCCCAGAACCACTTTTATTTTGCTTTTGAGGGTTCCTGACTACGTAGTGAATGTAAATTAGTATTTCTTACCAGCATGAGCATAGACTCCTGGTTAAAATTCTCAGAGAAGCCTGTTTTTTTTTTCCCCCCTCTACCCAGAGCTCAAGCTTTGTTGTGTGGTGGGCATATTTTTTTTCCTAGCCACCTTTTTACTGATGTGTAGCAATTTGAAAATCCTGGCTCTTTTTCCCTGGGGTCTCAATTCCAAATACATCATGTGAGCCTTGTCTTTTGTCCCTTTCTTGTTGTTATCCAAAGTCCTTTAGTCACTGACCCTGCAAATCACCCAGGACATTGAAGTGTCAGCGGACTTTCCACTCTTGTTTTTTAGTTTTCTATTGTTTGGGCTGGGATATTTCCCTTATTCTCTTGTAAAGAGCTAAGTTCTGCATTTTAAAGAGTATTTATTATATTTCATTCAGCATTTCCAAGCGTTTTGTAGTGGGGAATTATTTAGGTCTGTGATATGTAGAGGTCATTTTGAGATAAATATAGAGAAAGATCATTTGTAAACATAGTAACCTGTATTTCAATATCAGTTTTCCTTTTCATTTGATGTTTTTAGTCAATGGTCTGTCATGGACATAAGTAATACATGACTAAACATAAAATCAATTTAAAACTGTTTAAAAGTTAAAACTGCCAATGTGCTGAGCAATGAACTCAGTGACTGAATCACGTGGACTTTCAGAAATTCCTCAGTAATTGTTGTTGAGGCTCTTTTATTTAACATGCTCTCAGAGACTGATGTTCTAGTATAAAGGGAAGAAATAAAAAATTGTAACAAATGTCGTTTTTGCCTTTCAAGTGACCTGGAACACTCTTGCAAAAACCCAGGAGCTTATTCACTACCGATAGGGAAATTTTTTCCTACAGAACAAAATTAAAATGCTACCGTTGTCATAAACCGGCTTCTACCTCCCTTTTCAGCTTCATCTCTCACTACTTAGCAAAAGTGCGCTCGACAATCACGACTTCTAATATCAGTGAAGTTCCCACTTGCTTGAAATGCTCTTTCTTTACCTAAAAACCTTCTGTTGATTCTTCAGACTTTAATGCAAATGGCAACTTCTTGAGTAATTTTTGTCTTCTCTCTCAAGCAGTTAATGACTATCTTTTGTATTCCCTGGCACTTATTATTTCTGTTACAGCATTTACCACACAGTATTGCCATTTCTCTGTTTAGAGATATATTTTCCCCACTAGTATAAGCTCCTAGAATACAGGGATCATATTCACCTTTGTAGTCCTGGCACCCCACAGAATACCAAGAACTTAGTACTCGATAAATGATTCATGAATAAATGAATGGGGTGGTCATTGTTCCTATGGATATGAATGCCAAGTGAATGGATATTTGTGTATATAAGATGAATTACACTGTCAGTAAATTCTCTAACCTAGAACATTACCTGACTTTTTTTCTTTTTGTGCCTCTCCAGACTTCAAAGCAACATAGATTGAAAAAGATCCCGAAATTCACAGGTCAGAAAGATCCTATGTTTTATTTTCAGCTGAAGGCTAATGACAGACCAACTGTGGGTTACTTTAAAGCTCTATCCTTTATACCTGGCTGGTGTGGCTCAGTGGATTGAGCACCAGCCTGTGGACCAAAAGGTTGCTGGTTCAATTCCAATTCAGGGCCTGTGCCTGAGTTGTGGGCTTTCCCACATAGATGTTTCCATGCTTCCTTTCCTCATCTCGTTTTGTGTAAAGCTCAAAGTATCAGGAAATAAACTTAGTGACATTGGAGAATGGAGAAGGGGTAACTACCAAGAGTTTGGTGGGGGAAAGTTTCAGCACCTTTTTTCTCTACCATAGACACTGGATATACACTTCTGGAGGAAAAAAAATGTTATGACCTCTGTTCCCCCCACTTCAACTCCCTACTACCATGATTATTCCTGCTCTTTTCAATCACTCACATCTATCTATATTACAGGGTAAAGGCAGCACAGTGAAGTTTAAAAAACAAACTTGAGATCTGGATTAAAACTGAGCTCTACTACTAATTAGCTTTAAGATCCCGGACATGAGTTCATCGTTGTTTCCTTAATTGCAAAATAAGGGTCTTGGACTAGGTGATGTCAATAGTCATGATACTAACAGATTCTTCACCTCTGCTCCCAGCTCAACAGTGGGAAGAAAATCTCAGGATGGGCTGCATTAAAACTAACCTCACATGGTGAGTAAAAATTGATCTTCACTGTTGTCTTTTTTCTTCTTTTCAGCCTATTCTACTGATAAACTATAAAAATTTAGGAGTAAGATAGCTGGGACTCTGTTTTACTTCCCACATTATCATAGTCTTCTCTAAGTTAAGTCTCTCTTCTTATTGGTTTCCTTACCAGTACTTTTAGTATCACTTCAGTTACACTGACATACTCTTTTTCATCCAGCTTTTCAGGACTCCCTGAAGTATGGACCCAGGAATGTATACTCTGTCTTGAACAGATATTCCAACATCTGGAAAATGCAAGGTCAGAGAATGTAGTTTCTGAGGGGGGATTGAAGGTGGTAGAGCTTTTAAGAGGGAGGAAGGAAGGGAGTAAAGAAGAGAGAAAGGGATATGAGGAAGCAGGGAGGAAGAGGAAAAAGAGCATTGTTGATTAGTTAGTCTTTTAGTTTGGGCAGTAGGGGAAGGTTCTAGGTTCAAAGGAAGTTTAAGAACTACTGGTTTATTGGTTACTTCTGACTGGAATGGGATAAACGCCTTCTTTTGTCTTGATGGAGGAATTCTTTCCACAATTAATTGATGTTGGCTAAAGCAACTTATTATCCTCCCTCAGTCCAAAATATTTTGCACTTGAAATTGGCCATTATTTTTCCCGTTGTCTACTTTTTTCTGCCTTTTTCCTGTTTCAAAGCAAAATGAAACTTTTCTCTTTATTCCTCAGATCAGCTCTTATGGAATCATGTTTGCCTGAATCACAGTGTATGATTTCTTCCTCCACCTCCTCTGGTTGTGTGGCTCAGGAGCCTATTCTACCCTTTTGTGACTGTAAGACAGCAAAATATTCTACTACCCACAGCACCTCCTCTGGATCATCATGCAACAACTCCAGTTTGTCTCACTTTTCTGTGTCTTCTGAAGGAACAACCGGGAAATTCCGGAGCCATAGTTTATCTATTTTTTCTAAAAAGCAACCATCTGTGTTCAAGAACCAAGGCACATCCCTGCCTCCTCCTCATCTCTCGGAGCTTGGGAAATCAAAACTCTTTCAGAATTTGGCAACTCTTTCAGTCTTAATACCTCAAACCTCTCTCACCAACTCTACTATCTGCAAACAACTGAAAACAGAGGATGGGAGAAGGAGCGAGAATCATTTGACATCAGATCATCGGCCAAATTCTATTTTCAAGGAGAGACGACAATTCAAAAACCGGGATCCAATCCGGATCTCTTCTTTGACTAGGTGGAAGTTAGAGAGACATATGGCTTGGAAGGTTTGTACTTTGCAGAAACAAACAGTACCTCTGCCTGTGAAGGAATCATGGGCAATGTTGAATTACTTAACCGAGGTACAAGAAAGCATCCCCGAACCAGAAAAACCCCAAATCCAGTTATCTATGCCCATTTGTCAAAGCACTGAGCAAAATATCAACAATGAATCCCCAGATCTTCCATCATTTCAGCGCCGTGTGAACATTGGAGTGGAATCTGGATTAAATCGAACAGAAACAAAAATTTCACAATCACTTACCCCAGGTAAGCAGTCACAACCTGAGGGTGGCCCCCAAATCCTTGGATCCAAGTTGTTAGTTACATCTATGAACACTCCACCTCCAAAAAGTTTAGGAGTTGACATAATTGAAAAAGAAACCACTTTACTGCAGAAGGACACAAAATATACACTAGAGCTTAATGTAAAGCAGAAGGTGATAGGTCTTCCAGAAAGAACCATACAGAAGCATGAGACCCAAGTGACTAGTGTGGAGTTGACTCAAAGGCTACCATATCAAGTCACAGATAGCATAAAGGTAACCCCACTGGCATTACTTCAAGCCATGGATTCAATGGGGTTGATCCCGGAATCACATTCAGAAGTGATAGAATCTGTGGGTTTGTTTCCACGACCAAATGAAGTTGTTAAACCATTGGAAAAACAGAGTGCAAGCTCAAAACCAGCATATCAAGTCACTGAATCAGTAGAGGTCACCCCAAGGCCTCAGCACCAAGTTACAGAATCAAAGAAGATGACCTCAAGACCACTGAATCAAGTCACAGATAATGCAAAGATAACTCCTGTAGCACTGATTCAAGTCATGGATTTTATGGGAATGATTAAAAAATCACACCCACACATCACAATGGGAATGACCCCAACATCAGAATATCAAGATAAGGAGTCAGTGAAAATGAACACATTGTTGGACCATCAAGTCATACAACCAGAAAAGATGAGTCCAAGGCCACAGCATACAGTCATGGAAACTGTGGAAATAACTCCAGGACCACAGCATAAAGTTATTAAATCAGTGGGCATAACTTCAAAGCCACAAAATCAAGTCACAGAACCAGTAAAAATTATTCTAGGACCAACATGTCAAAACACAAAATCACTGAACATGATGCCCAGGCCATTGCATCAAGTCATGGATATCATGAAAGTAACACCAGAGGCACTACTAGAAGCTATGAATTTCATGGGAATAATTCCCCCTACACAGCCAGATGGTATAGAATCTGGGAGTTTAACCCCAGATTCACAGACTCATATTTCAAATTTGACCTCAAGGGCAACTCAACCAGATGATTTGACATCTTCTAGTTTTCCTACTACTATTAACCCACCTGGAATTAGAGAGGCTATGGGTGTACCTCCAAAGCCACTACCTAAAGTCATGGAATCAGTAGGGATGCTATCACATCAATCCATGCATTCTCTAAAGATAACCCCAATAGCACTGGGGTCATCCAATGGAATGATCACAGAACCATCCTTGGAGTTGACTCCTAGGCCATGGATTCTAGACACTGTGGGGATGACTGCACAACCATATCATCAAGGCACAGAATCTATAGCAATAACTCCAGTGCCACCTCAAGACATGGAATCTTTGAGATTGACCCCATGGTATCAAATACCAGAGTATTCAGAGATGAGCCCAGGGCAAAGCCACCAAGTTATAGAAACTGTGGGATTGACCTCTGACATGTACTTACAAATGAAGAAATCTGTAGAGTTGACACAGTCACATCATCAAGTAATGGACTCTTTAAGGACAATCCCAAAGTCACTGGGTCAAGGTACAGAATCTACTAGACTGAACCAAAGACCACTACATCAAGTTATAGAATCCTCAGTACTGACCACTACATCACTGCTTCAAGGTGTGAAAAATACGGGGGCAAAGCCAATGTCACAACTTAAAATTATGGATTCTATGAAGTCATCACCCGGGTTGCCAAAAGTAAAATCTGAGAAACAGATCATGGGAACAGAGTTGAAAAGTATAAAATCTGTAGATATAACCACAGGTTCAATCCCACGCAATAAAATAATAAAATATGGACAGCTGATCCCAACTGTGAACTCTACAGAATCAACCATAGAACTTCAACAGCCGAGAGTAAAATCTAATGAGTTGACCCCCATTTCACAGCTGCAAAGTGGGAAATCTGTGCAGTCATCCCTGGGACCTCACTCTCAAGGTGAGAAATCTATCCAATTGACCCTAGGACCACAACAGCAAAGTGAAAAATCTGCTGAGTTAGCTCCAGCACCACAGTCGCAAAGTAGGAAATCTATAGATTTGACCTCCAGTTCACAGTTGCAAGGTATGGAATGTGTTCATTTGAGCCTACCACCAGAGTTGACAGGTACAAAAACTATGGAGTTGACCCCAGGACCACAACAGGAAGATATGAAATCTGTGGAGTGCACCCTAAATCCATTGTTAGAAGCTATACAATCTGAGATAGCTGAAGTACTATTGCTTAAAGATGTGAAAACTCCTCAAGTGGTAGAATGTAGGAGGTTGATTCCTGAGACGCATGTAGAAAGTATGAAATATGAGGAGCTGATCCCAAGGGTACACATTCTAGCAGCAAAATCTGTAGAGTTAGTACGCAAGCCAAATCATGAAGCCATAGAATCTGAAGAATTGACCTCATGGCATCAAGCTTCTGAATCTTTAGGGATGATTTCAGAGCCAGGATATCAAGAAACAGAACCAAAGTTGACCTCTGACACTTGTCTTCACAAGAAAGAATCTGTGGAGTTTCCACAATCATCTTTAGGAAATACCCCAGGGCCATTGAGACATGCTTCAAAATCTAGGCAGATGAACTCAATATCATTCCAAGGTACTCTTGAGGCAAAGCTCCAAAGTGTAAAAGCCATGGGGGAGACTCCACTGTCACAAGATACAATACGAGAATCTCAGAAGGTGGTACCAAGATCAGAGGTACAAGCTATGAAATCAGAGGTGTTAATCCCAGACTTCCAACTGAATCTAGGAGCATGTTCAGAAGTTATAAACTATGAGGAGTTGACCTCAGAACCACAATTTCAAAGTGTAAAACCTGTGCCATTGATCTCAGAACCACAGCACCAAAGTATAAAACTTGAGTCAGTCCCATTTGTGGTAGGAGCTAAAGAGTGTATTACAGGACCAAAACCACATGTAATGGAGTTGGCTCCAGAGACACAGCCCAAGGACGCAAAGTCCAGACAGTTGGATCCAGAGCCACAATTACAGGATGTGAAATATGTTAATTTAATCCAAGAGTCAACTCCTACCAGAGCAGTAGAATCTGAGAAGCTGATAAAAGAGCCAGTGCTACAAAGTATGATATTAGAGGACTTAACTGTAGGGCCACAGTCACAAAGTGTCAGATTTTCAAAGTTATATCCAGGGCCACCTCTCCAAGAAAAAAAATCTGTAGATTTAATCTCAGGGCCCCCACACCATGTTATGAAATCTGATGAATTGACTCCAGCTTCTCCTGTGCAAGAAATCAAACTGTCAGGATTTACATTACAGCCAAAGCCTCTAAGTGTTACACATGTACAGTCAACTCCTGAACCACAACCTCAGGGTATCAAATTTGTGGAACTAAACTCAGGACTGTGCTCAAAAGATGTTAAATTTTCTGATTTGGACCCAGAATCAAAGCATAAATGTTTCAAACATGTGCAGTTTATACCAGAAACACAGATTCAGGATAAAAAGCTGGTAGGGGTTGTAGCAGAGTCATCTTTGAAGTTAAGTCAAGGGCTCCCAGTTGAAAATATGAAATCTGTTTTGTCTATTGAAGGATCACAATTTCACAGCATGAAATCTGTAAAACTGACCTCAGAAATACAATTTCAAGGTGTTAAATCTGAGGAACTGAAACTAGGACCAAGGCAGCAAGTTGTCGAATTTTCTGAATTGACTTCAGGGCCAAAGCTTCAAGGTGTCACATTTGGGGAGCAAACCCCAGGACCACTGTTTCATCATGTGAATTCTGTGGAGATGACTCCAGAGTTAGCGCCTCAAGATTCTAAATTAGCAAAGATGTCTCCAGGGCTTCAAGTTAGGAAACAGGTTGGGCTTAACCCAGGGCCATGGCTACAAGATGTTGAATTTTGTGATCTGACATCAGGAACTCAATCTCAAGGTGTGAAATCTTCAGAGTTAAAATCAGGGCCACAAAAACAATATATGAAAAATTTTGAGTTGACCCCAGAGCCAAAGAAGCAAGGAGGAAGACCTATGGAGTTGACCCCAGGACCTGAAGAACAAGGGGTTAAGCCTGAGATGTCAGTACCAGGGCCACTGTTTCAAGGTGTAAAATGTGTAGAGGTGGGTCAGCTGTTAAGCACTAACAGTGACATTTCACATAAATTAGTGTTAGAGCCACAGATTGCAGATGTGAAGTCTATGGAGATGACTCCTGAGCAACAGTTGCCAAGTGTAAACTTTTCTGAGTTGACCAGAAGACCACAGTTACAAGGTATGAAATCTTCTGAATTGATCCAAGGACCACAGTTAAAAGATGTAAAACCTGTGGCGTGGACCCCAATCTCAAAGTTTCAAGGTTTAAAATCTGAGACACTAATCCCAGAGCCACAGTTAGAAGATAGGAAACCTGTGGATTTAACCCTACGGTCACATTTGGGAGGTTTGAAACCTGAAGAATTGACTTTAGAGCCACAAATGCAAGACATGAAATTTGTGGAGATTACCCCATGTTTCAAACGTAAAAGTTTAAACTCATCAGAGGAGACTCTAGATCCACTGCAATGTGTAAAATCTGTGAAGTTGACCCCAAGGCCAAAAAAGCGGGTAGTAAAACCCACAAATGTAACCAGAATGCAAAAGTTTCAAGGAGTAAAATCTGTGGATTCAGCTCCAAGGCAACAGTTTCAAGGGACGACACTTTTGAATTTAACCCCTAAAGAGTTAAAACTTGAACCACAGTTGCAAAGCACAAAATCTCCCAAGTTGACCCCAGGGTCACAGTTACACCAAGAGAAACCCTTGGTGTCAACTTTAGAACCACAGCTTCAAGGGGTGAAACCTGTTCTAAAACAAGAGCCACCACTTGGAAGTATGAGACATATTCAGTGGATACCAGAACATGAGTTCCAAGGTGTGAAATCTAGAGGGTTAAATCTTAGGTCACAATCTCAAGGTGTCAAATCAGCAAAGTTGAAATCTTTGAGACAGTCAAGAGATGTGAAGTCATCTAAATTGACTCGAGGACCAAAAACTCAAGGTGCAACATATATGGAGTTCAACTGTGGGCCACAGATGCAGAGTGTGAAAACCCCTGAGTCACCCCCAGGACAACTGCAAAAAGGGACATTTTTGGCCTCCACATCAGAGCTACAGCTTCAAGGCATAAAAGGTGTGGAGTTAAACCAACAGCCACAACTTGGAAGTACGAAATCTGTTCAGTGGATACCGGCATTAGAGTTTCAATGTATGAAATCTCTGCTAAATCTTCGGTTACAATCTCAATGTGTCAAACCAGCAGAGTTGAAACCTTTGATAAAGTTAAGAGATGCAACATCACCTAAGTTGACTCCAAAGCCAGAGCTCCAAAATATACAATCTTCGGCGTCATTCCAGGAACATCAGCCTGAAGGTTTTGATTTGAAACCTCATCTGCAGTTTAGAAGTATGAAATCATGTGACCTTACTGTGAGGTCAAAGCCCTGTGATATAAAATCTATGATGTTCAAATCTAGGTTTCACTTGCATGATGGGAAATCTCCTAAATTGAGCTCAGGACTACGGCTTCAAGAAGTGAAACCCTTACAGTCATCCCTAGGAACACAGCTTCAAGGGGTAAAGTCTCCAGTGCTTACACAAGAACCACAGCTTCCAGGTGTAAAATCTGGGGTATTAAGTCAATTTCAGAGTGATAAAACTGTGCAGTCGAGTTCCCCACTATGCTTCAAAAGTATGAACTCATCCAAGTTGGCTCTTCAGAAAAAGCTTCAAGGTGTGAAATCTGAGGATTTCAACTTTGGGTCACAATGGCAAGGTCTAAAATCTTCTAAATTGCCTCCTGGTGTAAAGTCCCAAGATATGAAGTTTACTGAGTTAAATCCCAGCTCACAGTTGCAAGGTGCAACATTTTCTACATCCAATATAGAAACAAAGATTCGAAGTTTCAAACGTAAATATTTCAACCCTGAATCATTGTTACAAGTTATGAAATCTTCTCAAGGGATTTCAAAGACAAAGCTTCAGGATATAAAAGACAAAAAATTCAGCATCATCCCCCAGTTGCAATCTTCTGAGCCAATACTGGGGACAAAGCTTGAAAAAGTAAAGTCAGAAGAATTCAAGTCAGGTCCACAGTTGCAAGATATAGAATCTTCTAGGATGGTCATGGGTATAGAGCTTCAAGGTGTAAAATCTATGAATTTCGGGTCTGGATCACACTTGCAGGGTATGAAATCTTTTGAAGTGATCTCAAAGGAAAAGCTTCAAGGTGTGAAATCTGTAGATTTAAAACCTAGTCATAAGTTACAAGCCGAGAAATCAGATTTGACCCTGGAGAGCAAATTTCCAGGTGCAAAATCTGTAGAGATGGATTCAGGTCCAAAATTACAAGACATAAAATATTCTGACTTGATCATGGGTATAAAGCTTCAAGATTTAAAATCTATGAGGTTCAACTGTAGATCACATTTTAAAGGTATGAAATCTTATGAGGTGATCCCAGGGACAAAAGTTCAAGAAGAGAAATTGTTTTTCAACTCTGAGCCACAGACACAAAGTAAAAAATCTCAGTCAATTCAAGCAACAAAGCTTCAAGCTGTGAACTCCTTAAGGTCCAACCTTGATCCAAAATTACAAGGTAGAAAATCTGATTTAACCCAGAGGAGGAAGCTTCAAGATGGGAAATCTGTTGAGTTAAAACCTGTTCCACATTTACAAGTTGTGACATCTGAGTTAACACCAGAGACAAAGCTTCAAAGTAAAGAATCTGTGTTCATCACCAGGCCAATGTGTCAAGATATGAAATCTTTTGAACCAACTCTAGGTACAAAGAAACAGGATGCTAAATCTTTGGGGTTTAACTCAGCCCCACAAGATAGGAAGTTGTCTATGTTGACACAAGGCACACACCTACCAGGTGTGAAATCTGCGGAATTCAATTTGCAAGGTGTGGAATCTTCTGAGTTGATAAATCTTCAAATAATGACCCCTACAGAGATCAACAATGGCCCCAAATTTCAGGTTGCAAAACCCTCTGATTTGGCTTTGGAATCAAACGTTCACAGTGTAATAACTTCTGAGATCAATTCTGGAAATCAGTGGCAAGGGGTAAAATCTGACTTGACCAAGATGAAGCTTCCAGATGAGCCATTTCTCGAATTCAAGCATGAACCTAAATTGCAAGATGAGAAATCCTCTGAACTGAATCCAGGGCCACAGCTTCAATGTATAACTTTTATGGCATTCAACACTGGGCCAGTGTTGCAAGGTCTGGAATCTTCTGAGTTGAACCCCAGGCCAGAGCTTCAAGGTACAGAAACTAAGGTGTTCTGCCTTGAGCCACATTTGCAAGGTATGAATTCTTCCTCATTAATTTCAGAACCAAAACTTCAGTGTATAAATTCTACTGGCTGCAACCCTGGACCACATTTGCAAGGTGTGAACTCTTCTGAATTTTTACTTTCAAAACTTCAAGGTATGAAATCTTCTGAGTTGAATCCAGGGACAGAGATTCAAAGTGAGACATCGATGGTGTTCAACCCTGGACCACATTGGCAAGGTGTGAAATCTAAACTGATTCCAGACTCAAAGTTTCTAGGTGCAGCATCTATGGAAGGCAGCCCTGGGCCACAGGTGCAGTGTGAAAGTTCTTGTGAGTTGAATCCTGGGCCAAACTTACAATGTGTAAATTCTACTGGATGCAACCCCGAGCCACTCTTGGAAGGTGTAAAACCTTTTGAGTTGACTCCAGGGACAAAATTTCAGGGTATAATGACAACAGAGTTCAATTCTGGCTCCAAGCTGCAAGGTATGAATTCTTCTGAATTGAATTCAGGGTCGGAACTTCAATGCACTAACTCTATAAAGTTTAATCCAGGGCCACAAATACATGGCATGAAACCTTGTGAATTGAACCCTGAGCCAGAATCTCAAGGAACGAGGTCTATTTTGTTTAATCCTGGACCATATTTGCAACGTGTAAAACCTTCTAACTTAACTCCAGGGACAAAGTTTCCAGAAGTTCAAGTTTTGGAGAACCCCCTTGGGTCACAGCAACAAGTTAGGCATTCTGTTTTGGGTCCTCAATTAAATGGTGCAAAATCTGTGTTATTTTTACCACAGCCATTGCTTGAAGATGTAAAGTCTGTGACGATGAACAAAGAATCATTGCTTTGTGGTGCAAATTCTGTAAAAGTGATTTCAGACTCAGAGCTGCAGGACTTAAAACATGAGGTGTCTGCACTGGAGTCATGCTTTAAAAGAGTGAAATCTGCGGAGTTAAATCCAGGATCAAATACTGAGTTGAAATCTGCAGAATTAACCTCACAGCTAACATCTTCATTTGATGATCCTACAATGTTGACTCATGAACAAGAACTTCAGGCTGTGAAATCTATAGGGATAAAAATAAGGCCTCCTCAAGTTATGGATTCTGAGGATTTGAATCTAAGACAGGTAAATCAGGATAGGGAATCTGAGGAGTTAACATTAGGAGAAGAGTTACAGATAGGGAATTATTTCTCTAGGTTTCTATGTAACTCTTCAAACTCAGTCATCTCAAGCACTGTCAAAACAACATCTGAATTAGGAGGCCTTTGGGATTCTGAGATGACCAAAGTATCAAGAGCCTTGGATCTAGAAAGCCCTTGGACAGGTATTTTGCAGCCTGAAGAGAGTTTTGCTTCAACCTTTCCCTTGTCCTTTCATAATCAACCCTCTGACAAGACAGCTCACACTGTAGAAACCCCCCATGCTGAGATCCCAGGAGTGAATGTCATATCTAAGGAGAGGATTCAAAAGGGGCAGGTGGCAGAGTTAGAGAATTCACTCCAGGGCCTCTTCCAACATCCACCAAAAAGCTGGAGATCACTACCCAGGACCTTCCAGACAGGATCAGGGGCTCGAAGAAACCTTACCTGGTCTGTCCTGGGAAGACAACAGAATATCTGGGAGAGTCACTCCTGGAAGCAGAAACTACCTAGAAAATATCTCTCCAATATGCTAATGCTGGGGAATGTCTTAGGGACCACTATGGAAAGAAAGTTTTGTTCTCAAATACCTTTAACAGAAAGAGTCACTACAGATGCCCAACCTATTCAGAATTTATTTGGGGTTCCAGCTGAATTGACGGAATTTTCCCAGAGTCTGCTAGAGATGGGTCAAGGTACTGTTTCTCAGGCTTCAGTGGTCAAAAACTACATTCAGAGACATACTTCATGTCATGGTCATGAGAAAAGAATGGCCTTAAGGATGTGGACACGTGGTTCTATGCCGTCCATAATACAGCAATACTCTGGAACTAGAGTGAGAATAAAGAAAACAAAGCTCACTGATATATCCCAGGAAGTCATCCAGCAGCACATGCCTATTTCATATACAGGGGACCAGCTCCTTGACCCAGTAAAGTCAGAGTCTCCCTTCAATATATTTTTCACTATGAAAGATCCTGTTCCAGTGAAAGAGAGTGAGAACTCACAGACTGATTCACAGACAAGGATTTTTGAGTCCCAATACCCCCTTACGCCAAGTTATCTTTTCCAGGACAACTCTGTCTTCTCAGAACAACTCCAGTTGCTACAAGATCTGCAGCTAAAAATAGCAGCAAAACTGTTAAGAAGTCAAATACCCCACAATGTACCTCCACCGCCAGCTTCAGGACTGGTCCTGAAATACCCTATCTGCTTACAGTGTGGCCGTTGTTCAGGTTTCAATTGTTGTCATAAATTACAGGACACTTTGGGGCCTTATCTTATTATCTATCCACAGCTCTGCTTTGTACGCACTCCCGAAGGTCACAGAGAGATTAGACTGCATCTTGGCTTTAGATTGCAGTCTGGGAGAAGATCCCAAGTCCCAAAGTATCACAGAAGAGACAGACCCGTTACACCAAGGAGCCTGATATCATCATCACTAAGGAAAGCTAAAATCTGTACTCAAGCTTCCAAGAATCCTACTTCCACAATAGATTTCCCATCTCAGTCTTCCCATTCTCCTGCTCCTATACAAGCCCACATCAGGCAAAAGCAATGTGGCAGCTCTGACCTTATAGGAAAGACAGATACTAGAGAGCCTGGACGCTATGAATTCACTGAAGTTTGCTTTTTACCAGAAAGTGACTCTGAAAGCAATCAAGATGAACAATGGGCTGAAATGAGAAGCCAAAGCACCTGTGATTCAAGATATCCAATGAAAAGAATCACCAAGGGAGTTAGAACACAAAACAAAAAGTTCTACACAAAAAGTAGAACCTTAAAACACAGTCTCTCTAGGGAGATAGCAGCTCAGTTAAAAATGAAAAGGAATGGAGCACCTCAGACAACTACTGACTCTTTTAAAAGACCGCCTAAGACATCCTCCCAACCTAAATTCATTCAACTGGTTTTTCAGGGACTAAGGAAGGCATTCCAAACAGCGCACAGAATTATGGCATTTGTTGGGCAGAAGTCTGAGCACAGAACAAGGGCAGGCCATTTGTGGTCAAGCAAAAATTACCAAAGAAAACAAAAAGCCAGAGACTACTGCTTGCTAAGAGATATTGAAAAAGAGAGGATGCCAGTTATGAAGCTAAAACCAACAGACCCAACCACTGAACAGGACAGCATGTTGTGGGAAGGAACAGACCAACTCAGATCAGCTCAACAATCAAAAACAGACAGCTCTTTCCAACTCAGACTTTTCCCACTGCCCACACGCAGAGTTCCCCAAGGAAGCACCACTCCCAAAGCCACCACAATCAGACATCCTTTGGGTACCATTCAAAATGGCAGGGGCAGCAGACCTAAGAAAAATTTCTATAGAAAAGAAATCTCTAGCCTGGAGTCCAAGAACTCCAAAACAGGAATCAGAAGTCGGGTCCAAGGGAGAATTCTACATGGCACTGCTATGAAGAGAACCTCACACAGTCCCCTTAAAGACAAACTCACACATAAGAAACCAAACCACCACAGCTTCCTTAGGGAAAGAACCCCTTGCATTTTCTCTGACAGGAGACATCACAGTCCCTCTCGGAGGAGCCATAGAAGTCCATCTGAAAGGAGCCACTACAGTCCCTCTCAGAGAAACCATTGCAGTTCCTCTCAGAGAAGCCATCGCAGTCCTGCTCAGAGGAGACATCGAAGTCGTTCTCAGAGGAGACATCGAAGTCCATCTCAGAGGAGACATTGCAGTCCCTCTCAGAGGAGCCGTCCCAGTCCTTCTCAGAGGAGACATCGCAGTCCATCTGAGAGATGTCGCAGTCCCTCTGAGAGATGTCGCAGACCCTCTGAGAGATGCCATTGTCCCTCTAAGAGGCGAGGATACAGTCTTTCTGAGAGCAGGCGACCCAGGCTCTGTGAGAGCAGTCATGGCAGTCCCTTTAAGAGGAGAGGACATAGTCATTCTGAGAGGCTCAGACACAGTCACCCTGAGTGGAGTGAACACAGTCCATCTGAGAAAAACCATGGAAGTCCCTCTAAGAGAACTCATCACAGCTCCCCTAAGGAGAGGCCCAGACATAGTTTGTACAAAGATCTCAAGACTCACTCAAATCATGTCTCCTAGGGACCATACAAAAAAAACCCCAAACAGGGCAAGTCTGGAGTCTCAGAGTAGATGAGGTTTCCACCCCCATTATTCCTTTATTGACTCAAACCTTCACTAAGCTTGCCTTTCCTGGCTTCTTTCCTGCTCAGCCACCGGCTCCAGTTCTAGCACCCTCAGCAATGAAAGAGTTTATGCCTCTCCATCAGGGGGCTGGGGCAACGGGATTGGGTCTGCAATTTCTCTAAAATAAAGGGGCAATAACTGATTTCCTTGTGCATGTAGAAAGACACTCGCTGTGCTGGGTGGGGAATGGAGGGTGGAGGGACGTGAAAGGTTAGGGTCCGGAGGCCAGATTAAAGCCCCACCCCCAACTCACAGTCCTCTGGGTCCGGGACCCTAACCTGGAGGGCGGGGTCTCAGGGTCTCGGAGTGTGGTCGTCACGTGACTCACTCCCGAGGCAGCCCCGCTGGAAGGCCGCTAGGCGGAAGTCGACGTGCAGAACGGGGTTGGGCGGCTCAGACTCCACATCCGGGAGAGGAGAGGAGAGCGGAAGTGGCGTTGGTCTGGCCGGAGCCCTTGGGTGAATTTGTTAGGCGTGGAGAGGGAGTGATGTCTTCCAGACTCGGTGCAGTACCCGCTGTGAGTTTCTCGGTTTGACCGTTATGCTTCAGAGGTAGCGCTGTCGAGCCTGCAACACGCGGTCCTCTCTTTTGTCCTAAGCTCACAATTGGTTTTATCAGAGCCCATCGTAGGCCCCACCCTTCTAGGTCAGATCTACCTGTCCCCTTCTTTCCCCTCACTTTTCGCTGTCTGTTCCCCACCTTCTTGGACTCAGTTCGTCGCCAGATTGCCATTAGCTTCTATTCTTTTTATACATGCAGTGCTCCCATGTCCGTTGTCCTCGCTGTTCTCTCTTTAGAACCTCTATCCAGACAGGGCGTTAAGAATGGGGGAGATGAAGGCTCTGGTGTTGTCACCTGCCGTCACTCTGTAGAAAGATAGGACCAAATACTTTTCCTTAAAAAGTCCTGCCTCCTTCCGTTTGAGTTAGATGCCCGGGGAGAGCTTCCATTTCTTCTGGGCACAGGGGGATTGTCATTTTGTGGTCAAGGTTCAGAGGTCTCTAGCATTCACTCATGTGCTTGCGTTTGCTAGACCCCGGGACCCACGTCCTTTAAGCAGCAGAGGACCACGAGGATCGTGGGCGCTAAGAAGTAAGTGAGGTTTTCTGAGGTCTGTTTATAACTGTCGCCAGGGCTGTCCATTCGAAGTATCTGTGATGATGAAAATTTTCTGTATCCGCGCTGTCCAGTATTGTTGCTTCTAGCCACGTATGGCTTTTGAATGCTTGAAATGTGGCTGGTATCAGAAATTGAGTTTTAAATTGTATTTAATTTTAATTCACTTAAATTTCAATAGCCACCTGTAGCTAACGTCTACCTTATTGGGCAGTGGGGGTCTAAACCTAGAGAACCAGTTTGCAAAAAAAAAAGAGAGAGGAAAAGAAAGAAAAGTATGAATCATAATAAAAATGGAGCATATGCTTTGAATTTATGTACTCATGGATACATTGAGGAACATGGAAGGACTAATAAGAAATGACCACAAGAAATCCTTGTATTTTCAAACTACTTGGCTTCCAGACTTGTGTATTATTTTGTATATTGAATGTGTTAAGCTTTTCCATACTTGTTAAGACAAAAAGGTCGTTGTTAACCAGATAGTCATTGGAAGGGATTAATTCATTCAGATAACATTTACTAAATATCTGCTATGTTCCAGGTGTGTAGTGGGTTAGATAGACAGACATGAAAAAACACAGCTAACAGTCTGAATGGGGAGATAGACAGACAAATAGATCAACACAGTACAGTATAATTCAGTATTTTTAAACAGGAATTTAATACAGCCTTTGGGAGAGGGGAGTGATAGTTTAGAAGGGAAGGTTTGACAGAGCAAGGCAGCTTGAAAGTTAAGGGAAGGGAAAGATGTTTTTTCCAGAAGAGAGAACAAGAGGTAAACAAAAATAATTTACTGGGATAGCAAGTGAGTAATTGTTAAAAAAAATATGAAGGTTAACGGGCCCTCATTTGTTAATCTAAATAAGAATAATTGGGGTTAGGACACTGACATTCTTATTTTTAACTGGCTCCCTAGGAGATTGTGAAATCTGAGAACCATTGGTGAGAACTGAGACTAGAAGTGAGTGGAGGATGAAACCATGAAGAAGAATATCAGCATTTAAGGACTGGGTAGAATAAAAGGCTGCAGATGATACTGAGATTAACTAAAATACTTTGTTAATGAAATCTAAATATTTATACCTAGAGAATGAACTAAGAGTCTTAAAAATTCCTGCTATATCAGAACTCAGTTGAAAATAAGGTTAAACTTTGCATCTCTGTGAGCAGAAGCAGAGATTGAAAAGTAGTGGCGCAGACAACATATTGTAAAGTTGCTGATTATTATAGTCATTGTTGGAACCAAAAGCCTTTTTTCTGTCATATGTATGGAAAGAGGAGTTTGAGATGATTCTGGTTTTTAAAAAATAGTGAAATGCCCTGACTTAATAGATAGATAGCATAAAATACTTCAGAACTGTTTTGTTGACCTTTAAAAATAAAGGTCACCTGGAGGGATTTCCTAACCATGTTGACTTAATACCCAAAATGTTATTCATGCTGATCATAGAAATAATTGATTTTTTTTTTTTTTTTTTTTTTTTTTTTACTTTGCTCGTGCTTATTCATGAAAGGGGTATGGATATATCTGAGTCCTACTCTGACAGTAAAGAAATTTCCATGAGGACAGTTTCCCAAGAAGAATCACATGAGACTTGACTCTTAATGGCCTGTGGACACTGTCAGGTCTTTCCAGTGAAGATGGTTCCTGCTGTTTGGGATGGTGGGTTTTGGCCCTAGAAGATGACCAGTTTCCATCTAAAAAATTTCTTAATACTTTTATGGAGGTATAAGTAAAGCACAATAGACTGTATTTATTGAAAATATACAGCATTATTAGCTTTGACATATGTAAGTACCTGTGAAACTGTCAACACAGTCGAGATAATATTTCAACCTCTTCCAAAAGTTTTTCATGTCCCTTTGCATTCCATTCCTCCTTCTGCTGTCCCCAGAGACCGCTCTGTTTTCTTTCACTGTACAGCAGTTTGCACATTCTAGGATTTCGTATAAATGAAATTATACACTATGTTGTCTTTTTATACGATTTCTTTCACTTAGAATAATGATTTTGAATGAAAATAGATTTTTTACTGAATAAAATTTCAGTATATATATGTCATAATTAGTTTATGGTCATAATCTACCTTGATGAATATTTGGGTTATTTTCAAATTGGGGGCCCCTGGCTGGTGTAGCTCAGTGGATTGAGCATGGGCTGTGAACCAAAGGATTGCTAGTTCAATTATCAGTCAGGGCACATGTCTGGGTTGTGGGCCAGGTCCTTGGTGGGGGCCAAGTGAGAGGCAACCACACATTAATGTTTCTCTCTGCTTCTTCCTCCCTTCTCCTCTCTCTAAGCAAATAAATAAAATCTTTTTTAAAATTTGGGGGTATTACAATAAAACTGCTACGAACATTCATGTGCAAGTCTCTATGTGGAAAAATATTTTTGTTTTGCTTTGAAAATATCCAAGATGGTATTTATTAGCATTTAAGGTGGTTGGGTCGTATGTCAGGAGTGTGTTTACCTTTGTAAGACATGGCTTGTTTTCTAAAGTGGTGGTATTTTATGTTCCTATCAGCAGTGTATAAGAGTAGGTCTTCAATTTAAAGGGTGTGTAGTGGTGTTTCATTATGTTTTTCTAAAATAATTAATTTTTTTGTTGATTTTTATTTTTAGGTATACAACATAGTGCTTAGACATTTGTGTAATTTATGAAGTCATCACCCCGGTAAATCTAGTGCCCATCTGACACCATATCTAGTATTACAGTATTATTGACTATATTCCCTATGCTGTACTTTACATTCCCATGACTTTTTTAAACTACAGTTCTTCATTTCTTCTCCCTTTTCATCCATCTCCCCATGCCCCTCCCACCTGGCAACCATCAAAATATTCTCTGTCTGTGAGTTTATTTGTTTTTCAGATTCCACATATAAATGAAATCATATGGTATTTGTCTTTCTCTGACTTACAGCACAGAGAAAGACAAATGGCATATTTGTCATATGCTATTTGTCTAGCATATCTTCTAGGTCCATTCATGTTGTTGCGGATGGCAAGATTTCTTTCTTTTTTAAAATTGGTTGTGGAGTGAGGGAGAGTAAGGGAGAGAGATGGGAGAAAGAGATAGAGGGGGTGGGGGTTGTTGCTCTACGTATTTATGCATTCCTTGGTTGATTTTTGTATGTGCCCTGACTGAGGTCAGGGATCGAATGCTCATCCTTGGTGTATCAAGATGATGCTCTAAACAATTAAGCTACCTGGCCAGGGCTGAATTGTAGCATTTAAAAACTGTGTGTGTGTGTGTGTGTGTGTGTGTGTGTATTCTGAATACAATTCCTTAGTCTCATACATGTTTCTTTTTAAATTTTTTAAATCCTCACTTGAGGACATGTTTATTGATTTTTAGAGAGGAAGGAGGGGGGAGAGAGAGAGAGAAAGAAAAAAGAATTCATGCAGAGAGAAACATTGATTGGTTGCCTCCTGTAGGCCCCCCACTGAGGATCAAATTCTAAACCTTTTGGCGTGCAGGGTAAGGCTCCAACCAGCCTTGCCAGGGCTGATGTGTGTTTCTTGAATACCTCCTTCCAGTTCATAGTTTCAATTTCATTTGCTTAATTGTGTCTTTTGAAGAGCAGAGGTTTTAAATTTATCATTAAAAATTATAAACATTATTTTTTCTTTTTATGTTTCATGCTTTTTGTATTCTATTTTTTAAGAGATTTTATTATTTTGAGAGAGAGAGGAAAGAAAGGAAAAAGACGGGGAAACTTTGATGTGCGAGAGATACATTGATCAGTTGCCTTTCACACTCCCTCAACCAGGG